GCGTTTTGCTCATTTTTTTAATAGATTTGGGATTTCATTTTCACATGGGAATTCAGAATTCCAAACATATTTTGTTTGTACTTTGCCTTTTTTATGGTAAAATGATATTATTGTCAACTAAAAGCAGAAGCTTATTAAACTTAAAATTCCTAGACTTTGGTTTCATCCTAATTAGATAGCTGTGGCCTTCCCTTTCTGCCCTGTGCAGTATTTTCCTTCCAATGTAAGGTAAGTTACCAGTGTCTTAGAGTTTGGGGAGTTGCCTTACGGTCAAAAGCAATGGTAGAATTCTTCCAAGTCAACAAGTTAGTCAGCTTTTACTTAGGACTATAATAAATGTTGCACTTTAAAATTCTTTGCACTCTTAGCAAAGTCTGAGAATATCATCCTTTAAGCTTGATTTTAAATAAAAATATCAGCAGAAAGGGTATGCTCCAAGTATGAAGATCTAAGTCACCCAGTATCAACAGCTATCATTTGGTCTTGTTTTTCTTATTCATCTTTAGCAGTGTGTTAGACATCATGATCTACGTGGGAGTTTAATGACAGTACTTGTAATCATCCCAAGGGGAACTTACAGAATGAGGAGGGACGAAGGCTAATGGCAGAACTAACTTCTGAAGGATGGCCTAAAGAGGAAATAGCAAAGTCATGGTCAAAAGACATAGGAGAGAAAAGAGAAAAACCAGGAGATTATTGTAAGAAGAAGCTAAGAAAGAATTTCAAGAAATTTTTGTTAACTCCCTCAGGTTCTTTGAGATGAGAACTGAAAAAAATTGTTGAGTTTTGTTATTAGGGGATCACTGCTGACTTTTGCCACAGCAATTTCAATGAAGTGTAGACACGGACTCCAGGTCTCAGTGGATTAAAGAGTAAACTGGAAATTAATGGATAAGGACAGCTCACATGTGGACTACTAACTCATCATGTATGAAGGCATAGAGAGAGCTGGCAGCTAGAGGAGAGAGCAGTGTTCAGGAGGGATTGTTCACTTACAAAGGTAGGCGAGACCTTGAGTGTATTTATAGGCCATAGGGGGAAAGCCAGTAGGTCGAGAAATGTAATAACCAATAACATGAAATCCTAGGAAAGCTTGATGGAGGTTGATTTGAGAACATAGGATTAGCCTTGATCAGGATTTCACTGTTTTAGGAAGAAAAAAGATAAAGATGGTCACAAAATATAGGTGTTAATAGATTATGTAAGCAGGAAGTTTGATATGTACAAATTTCCTGCTTACATATAAAATACTAGGTCAAGCTATATGCTACTAAGAAATTATTGCTAGACATTATACCACCAACCATTTGAGTGCTTACTATATGCTATCAAACACTGAGTTTAAGAAAAACAGTATCTTATTTAATTTCATCCTACAACACTATGCAAAAGATATACTTAATCAAGGAAAGCAAGGCTTGTTGAGTTTAATTAACCTAAGGTCATGGACACATTAAATATCATATCAGAATTAGTCGTGTGAACCAGTTGGTTCTAACTCCAGGCAGCATGGGTCTTTAACCACAGTTGTGAGGAGGTAGGGGTGTTGAAAAGAATGGCGGGAATTTGGTTAAATAGAACAGAGAGATTATTGTGGACAGGTAGAAAAACCATGAGTTGGCACTGGGTGCAGCCATAGCTGGAGACCACAAATCTGTGTTGGCACATGTCTGCACAGCCGAGTTATCTTTAGCAGCAGTTAGCAGCCCAAATAAATGATTGTATAAGGGGGAATTAGGGTGGAAATTTTTTAGTTCCACACTGGATGGATGAGAATATTAAAGCTTAACCTAGCAAAAATTCCTGAATTCTAAGGATAAAAAGAAAACCCTATGATATTCCTAACAGAAAATGTAAGAAAAGGAAATAGGAGCCCAAACGGCTTTAAACTTTTGTAAAACTGGAAGGTAGAAGACAGTGGAATAACACCTACAGACCAGTGAGTGGAAAGGGATACAACAAAGAGTTCTAAGAAGACCCAGTTCCATACATGTCGAAGAAAATGAAAGATACTGGAAAATAAGAACTAGAGTATATATCCCCCACCTGAGAAAAATACTTGAAAGAAAATAACAAAGGGATGAGAAAACAGACCTCAGGGAAGAGAAAAGATAGAAAGTAGTGAAACATGGTGAGCAGTGAAACATGGACACAATTAAATCTAATGTATAATGTAAGTGCAAAATGATGTTTATTCCAGTAGAAAATACAATATAATTTTAGTAAGATTTCAGAATAAAGCATTCTAAACTATTTCAGCAAAATTTAGGGTTAATGGGAAGAAGCAGGAAGGAATTGAAATCATTTTTAAAGTTTTAACTTGTTAATGGAGACAAGTAGTGGAGAACCTTGATGGGAGAGAGAGCCTTTGAAGTTTCCATCTTATATAACTAAGCTCTAAACTTGGTAAAGAACATTTTTAAATAATAAATAGCACATAGTTGTAAGGAAGATAACAGTCATAAACCTAAATACACAAACAACATAGCAACTAAAATGTAAAACAAAACTATTAGAAATGCAATGAGAACTTAAAATATAATAGAGTAGAAGCAATAGATTAATGTACGCCAATACTTGTCTCAAGAGGATGAAGCAGTAGAAAAAAATAATATAACAGAGGAATTGAATCAATAAACTTGAATATAAATATACCCTCATCCCTCAAACTCACTTTGTATGTTTGTGGAACATCAACAAAAATCAAAGATGTAGCTGGAAAGCCTTCACAAATTAACCTTAACAAATTTCAAGGAAATAAAATAGAGTTTACAGACCATATTCTCTGGTCACAAGCCAGTACAATTGGAAATACATAATGATAAATAGCTAAAACTTCAGGTATTTTAAATTTGAGAAACACATTCTTTAGCATAACTAAGATCAAAGAAAAGATAAAAAAATAAAACTACAACCTATCTAGAGAATAAAAATGTACTCTTCATTTTCAAACTACATGTAGCCTGTACTCAGAGAAAAAAATTATAGCCTTAAATTTTCTTAAGAAATATGAAAAGCAAAAGAACTAAGTAATCATCTTAAGTTCAAACCACAACAAAAATTAACCAAAAGAAACTAGTGAGAAGGAATTAAGATAAAAGCTCAAATTACAGACCTAGAACATCAAAAATGGTGCATTCAAAATTTCTAGGCTGGTCTCTGTGCGAACTCACAATTCAGGTGTGTCAGAGATCAGTACGTATGGAAATGGTACTTGTAGCCTCTCAGTTCTGTGAAGATAATTTTGGTCCAAGTCATTCATCCTCAGATTCCTGTCTAGAATCAAGTGGTTGAGTGGGGGCCAGCTAGGCAGGGTCCTGTTACAGCATAACCGCAAGGCTGCAGGGGAAATTTTGTGGTCACGCTACTTCTAGAAGGTATCCCTACTCTAAAACAATTCCTCTGGAAGGAGATTTGTGAATCTTTGGAATGCTAAATCACTAATAAAAATCTCATGTAGAAAAGAGAGGACCCCAAAACATAAGTAGATTATAATTTTATGCATTAAAGGTAATTACAGAAGATACATGTAAATATGTTGTATTTTGTATTTTAAGATTTCTTTTTATTCATCATACGTCTCTAGAAAACTGTCAAGAGCAGTTCTTTATCTCTGAGGCTTTATAAAACAGACTTGTCGCCATCTTAAGATAGAAATTCCATCAGTTAATATTATAAATGCAGTCAGTCTTCATGCTGCTGTCGGTACCGTCTGTGTGTTCTAGAGCGTCCCCACCTATGTCTCCTAGCACTGTCATGACGGGGCTCATTAAGGAAGAAAAGCTGCTGTTTAGTCCTGACTTGGTTTGAAATGGTGGCCATAGTACGTTAGAATTACTGCTTGCTTTGTGGAGAGGATGGGGGAGGGGAAGAGGTAAGGGAGAGTCTAACTGCAGTTTTTTTTGAAAATTTATAAAACTTCCTTGGTAATAGGCAAGGTCTTCCTTTAGCCTTTTACTACTAATTGGAAAAGTAAGTGTGTGCACATGTGTGTGGTATGTGTCTCTATGTGTACATGTACATGTGTGTCCTCACAGAGGTTCAAGTTTAGCATCATATCTGATAAGATATGGGAAAGGGGAAAAGAGGACTTTAAACACTAGAAAACATCTCTTAAAACAATTTGTAATGTTTACTATATTTACATTGGTTCTGAGACCTTTTTTATTCTAATGGACCCAGGAAAACTACTAGATGGAATAATAATAGTAATAATAATAATAATAATAGAAACAAATTTGTTTTAAATCTTTATTATTCTACTGGTTGGGTTTTTAAAGTATGTTTGGAGGGAAGCCATATAAAATAACCTTTATAAATTTTATGAATTTTGTATATAGGTCATGCCCAAAGATAAAATTACATCTATGACAGCTTCCTTTTTATGTAATTTTTCTCATTTTTCATATTTATGCTAATACAGCTAAGCTTTAGCCTGATTATTGAACTGATTTTCCTCTTGTCTTTCAGAGAGCAGCTGGAGAAATCATTTCATTTTACTGTTCATTTTTTTTTGGATAATATTATCCTCAAAAGAAAGTAGCAGGGCAGCATAGTGTCTTTAGAGCCAAGAAAACAATGGCCCGGTTTTCACCATTCGTGTCATTCTGTTGATGGGCGTCTGAAAGCTTTTGTGTTTGTCTATTCTTCCCAGAAACCACATTACCCTGTGTACCTAGCTTCATTTCAAATGACTACAAAACCTCAGCGACAGATATTTCACCTTTGGCCTATGTTAGCTATTTATCTTCATTATGATAAGTCAGCTTTTTAAAAAGTGCCCCTTAAATGAAGTGTACTTTCTCGTTCTGAGCATATTTTTCAAGGAACAGGATGTTTTATGACATTTGTAAGGTAGCAAAGGGTTGTCTTCACTGGCCCTTCATTTCACGTTTTTCACACGCCATCATGAATATTCTAAAACTTTTCCTTGTACTTTTACATTTTATCAAGAGATCTGAACTGAATCTTGTCTTTGTTTCTTTTGTATCCACCTACAGGACGAATATAAGCCAGAGAAGTCGCTGTCTGAAGAGGATTTGAAAAACGCAGTGAGCGTGCACCATGCACTGGCATCCAAGGCCACAGACTACGAGAAGAAACCAAACGTGCTTAAGCTGAAAACCGCCGACTGGAGGGTCTTGCTTTTCCAAGCCCAGTATGTTTTGTTGGTTTGATTTCTTCTTGTTTTTTAGTTTTCATAGCATCATCTTATACCGAGAGAGAGAATCAGAGTCTATAGAGGAAATTTTTTTAATTGAAGTCAGTCATTGGTTGTATAACAGAGGCAAAAACTAGAATAAGAAATAGAAGGCCTGGGTTCAAGCTTTTGTTTGCTACAAAATAACTCTGTGATTTTTTTTTGGTTAGCCATTTACCATCCCTAGAACTTCATATCCTTGTGAATAAAATACAAGGGCTTTAGTATACAAGGTCTATCACACAGTGAGTAAAATAAAGTGGGGTTCAAATCCCCATTTTCTAGCTCTTTATTCTAGCATGGAATTTAACCTCTTGGGAACTCAGCTTGTCATGAGTGTAAATAATAATGTGTATTTCCTAAGGTTCTTGTAAGAATTGAATGAGATCAAGTATAGAAAGTACCTCACACTGTGCCTGGTACATAGAAACTGTTCAGTAATAAGTAGAGATTTCCATTCATTCTCCCTTTTCTCTCATTCTGAGTTCTAATTTGTGACTAAACTAGGAGGAAAAGATAAAATCATATTGTGGGAAAGGAAATAGGATAGATTTCTGGTTTAGTAAGGGGTCCATGACAGCCGTTAGATTAGAAATGGAACATTCCACATTGAGAATTCTGGATTTGTGAAGTGAGAAGCTGGATTTTGAAAACTGACCCTCTAAAACAGGACTTTTCATAGGAGCATGCGCAGCATCGGTAGTCGGGGCAGACAGTGTTAATTATTCACGGTATACGTTTCACCTCCTGAAACTAACTTCAGAATCACTCTCAGTACAGTACTACCAATGGGCCACGTTTGTCACTGGGGTTAAAATTTGACATCAAGATAGTGAACACAAGTATTTCCGTGCTTATTGACCAAAACAATGTAAGATCCAAAAAAGAAATAAGAAAAAGAATAGGCACTCTAGTGAGCTGTGGATGCTGGACTTGCAAAGATGAAAGTGCAGACATCTGGTAAGGAGGAGATGTAAGGAAATCTGAGTTACACAGGATTTTTGTGGTGTGGGAATAAGACAGTTTTACCACCCAAAAGGGAACCATCGTCAGATGTATAATTATAGCTATTAGTAATAAAAGTCCTTCAAATTATTCTATCCCCCGCTATTATTTTATTTTCAATCTAAAATACTGGATGTAATAACTAAGGAGATCTAATTACTTAAGATAGAACCGATGCCGGAATCAGTCAATTGAAAGAACAGAGCCGGCGAAATCAGATTAGAGACTAGGCAAAGCGCAATGAGTACATGATACTCACATGGTTGCAGGTTAGTGTGCTTTTTCTCTGAGAGAGCAGTACAGGAAGCGATTTTAGATCGGCCGACGTTTTGCCCATCTTCTGTTTGACTATATGCGTGGTGGATAACCTCTTCTGGTCCACAACTGCTTCTACCACTCATTTATGAAATCACAAATGTTTATTAACTGCTGTCAGTTCTAGACTGTGAGTATGTGACATATAAGTTAAAGTGCAATAATGACATCAGGTGATTTCCACATCCTCTCAGGCAGATTTTTTAACACTGTATGTACACATGTATGTATATACAGACATACTTTATATACCAATTAATTTCATCTCTTTTAGGTGTACAATTCAGTGATTTTTAACAAATTTACTGAATGGTGCACCCATCACCACAGTTCAGTTTTGGAACCCTTCCAGCACCCCAAAGAGATCCCCAGACACCCACTTTGCATTCACTCCCCATTTTTAACCCCAGCCCCAGGCACCCCTAATCTCCTTTCTGTCTCCCTATAGCATTGCCGTTTCTGGACATCTCCTATAAATGCAGTCATAGAGTACGTGGTCTTCTGTGCCTGTCTTCTTTTACTTACCATGAAGTTTTGGGGGTCTGTCCATGTTGCAGCATGTCAGTACTTCACTCCTTTGTTGCTGGATAGTAGACAAGGATATCGATATATACCACATTTTGTTTATTCATTTACTAGTTGATGGACATTTGGATTGCTTTTTTTTTTATGCCTCTTATAAAGAATGCTATTGTGAACATTCACATACAAATCTTTTTGTGCCTATGTTTTTGTTTCTCTTGAGTGTGTACCTAGGAGTTAAATTGCTAGGTTGTATTATAATTAGTAGATACCTCTTTAATAAACCGTCAAAACTGCTTTCCAAAATGGATGTACCCTTTTACATTCCCTCTTATCAGTTTATCCCTCAGTTGGATTTTAAAATGAAATATGTGATTGGAAGAAATGAGTTCGTTTTTCAATTAATTTTTTACGTAGCCTAATATCAAACAGAAAGCTGGGTTTAATATTTACTATCAAGTGATTTCGCTTTTTTCCCCCCTCTGTATCCTTAAGGGATAATCACAGCCTGAATAAATGACTATGTGCCATTTGAAATCAGCAGTGAGAAATGGGCAAGGTGTGATGCCCTTAGATATGGAGACACCCTGACGTAAGTGCCTCTGCCTGTTTCTCATAGGAGTCCGGAGGAGATGCAAGGGTGGATAAACAAGATTAACTGCGTTGCAGCTGTGTTTTCTGCACCACCGTTTCCAGCAGCCATTGGGTCTCAGAAGAAGTTTAGTCGCCCACTTCTGCCTGCCACCACCACAAAACTGTCTCAGGTAAGTCATTCTGATAGTGCTTTGACCTTGGAAATTTTCTATTTGAATATTCAGGGGTGAGACCTTGCCCTGAAAGGACATGTAGTTTAAATCGGCCAAAGGGAAGTAAACTGGGTTTTACACTTCATACAGGAAGCTGATACAATTGAGTCAAGGTTAGGAGGACACATCCTTTGAATTCATTTCTAAAATTTATATTAGTTTACTACTCAGTCAGTCATACAGACCTGGTATTTTTTAATTTTTGTTTGTACTAACAGCTCATATTTTTTAACAAATTAGCTAACGTTAGGTGTCCTGGCTTGGAAACAAGCTTTTTATGCATTCTTTCAGTTTGTTTTTTTTTTAATTGAGATTTTCCCATATCCAAGGCTGTATTTGACACCAAGTATGTAAAAATATTCCCAGGGACCCACTATTCACAGTTGAATGGGGCAGAGCCTGCCTTACCCCTCAGGGAGAGCTAAGTGCACCGTGTACGTTTTCCTAGCTAATCAAGGCAATGTGCTAGAACATCCTTCCAAATGTCACATAAGCTTCTCCCCTATTGTCAGATTGCTCTCTGTAAAGATTATATTTTATTATCTCCCCCTCTGGCTCAAACCTCTGCTGAATCCAGGTTTGCCAACTTTAAACCTTTCTGCAACACTCTGTTGCCATTCACTAGTCAGGGATTTTAGAAGCTACTTTGATGTCTACTGTGAATTTCTTATTGGTATAATCATGAAAATAGTTTCACCTGGCTCTGATCAACCAGGTCTTGATATTAACCGGCTCTTCGACAAATTTGATATCATAATTATCAGTGATACGTTTATTTAATAAATATGTATTATGTGCCAGTTGTACTTCAGAGCCTATTTTAGGCTGGAGATAAGCCAGTGAAACCCAGATGCTGACATTAGACTGGCAAATTGGTATTTGAGCAAGTAATGAGCAAAGTAATTGTAACAATGCAGCTGGATTCGAGGTACAGGAGGGATAAGTCCAGTGTGCAATGCAGGTACAAGAAACAGATATCTCTCCTGGCCTTGGCGGTGAAGGAGGCAGTGTGATATCTGTTATGAAGCTTAAAGGATGAGCAGTGGTTTGGGGTATGTGTGGGAAGAGAGAAGAGAGGCTCAAAAAGGCCCAGAGGAGAAAGCTCTGGGATGCAGGAGCCACACATAAGTTATAAATGTGATGTCAGCACAAAGTGTTGAGAAAAGGCAAGAAATGTTCCTGTAGAGGTAAACAAAGGCCAAACAATGAAAGCCCTTGTTTGTCCTGTGTGGAATTTGGATGCTTCCCTAATTCCTTCGCATCCTTAGCATAATAATGTGAAAGCAGCAAAGCAACATGATTAAATTTGTGTTTTAAAAATCATTCTTGTTACAATAGAAAGAAAGTATTAAGGAGGGAAACTACTAGAAGCGGAAAGGCTAATTTTAAAGTCAGTTTCAATAATGCAGAACAAAGATAACTGAGTTAGTTGCTGAAGAGATGGACCTCTAAGTATTTGAGAGATCTCGAGGGTCTAGAACAGATCATCCTAGTGGCTCGCCGAAGCAGAAGAACGAGGGCTGTCATCTAGGCTGGAGCAGCTGGGGACTGTGGTGTCTGGCCTGGCCTGTGGGACCTCATTATCTCTGGCTTTCCCACCTGTTGCTTCTTCCCTGGGTCCTTTTCCTCTCTGTAACTCCAAATGCAGTGCCTGGTTTCCAGAAGCAGATCAAAACGGGCACTTAACAATTTTTTGAAATTGAAAAAAAAACAGGGAGGACGTTGTGCCAATAAAAGGTAGAAAAGTCATATAAACAGAAACTTTCTCCTGTGAAGTGGCAGGCGGGTCATTGGGTCCCTTGGTGAGAGCAGGGACTGATAGGAGGTCTTCTTTGAGGAAGAAATGAAAGGCAGTAAGGAAGTGGATGAAGGCAATGTGCATAAGTCTTGCCATAATTTTACTTTTTAAAAAACAGACTGGTAGGGAGAAGAAGGGAGATATGGTTTCAGGGAGGATTCTTTTGTCTTTATAAATTCATAATTGTTATTAACATGAATTGGATACTCAGCATGCAAACCATTGCTAATGTTAAGTAGTACATAGGCTACCAAGAAAGCTGGTAAAAAATAGAAAGTTCCAAGCCAGCCAGCTCACTTTACAAGGCAGAATGGCATTTAATTTTCACTCTAAGGAAAAGGAAGGCCTTACTTCTGATTGATGACCAAAGAATATGTTGGCAGAATTCTCCATCTACCCAAGAAAATATGGATACTTGAAGCAAATGCAGCTAGTTCCCCACTCTATTTTGGATATTTAACATAAATAGTAAACCATGTTACATAAGGTAAGCAGAGGAAAAAAACAATTGAACAACTAGAGGCAAAAAATACCTTCAGAAGTTGGATTTTGTTCTATTAACTTCACTAGGGATTTCCCAGTTGTTCTTATTCAACAGATTGGTCTTTCTCATAATTATCCCTAAGAAAGGTTCAAGGTAAGCTGAAGTTAAGGAAGAACATCAATAAGCATAGAGCCGCATAAGAGTTTTTCCTTGCTCCTGCCTTACTGTAGAATCTACATTTCTCTTTCCTATTTTCCTATTTACGTGTGAACTGTATTAGTGTGTTGCTTGTACATTAAAATGAATGTGTTCATCTACTTGTGTATCTTCACCACAAGACCAGGCAAGCAAGCACCTTTATCAAGGCAGAATCTCTAATTCAAATAAATCTTGTACTGGAATGAAAAACAGGTTGCATAAAGTTTTTATATATTTCCTCATTTTGAACATAAATCCAGAGAAGTGCAAAAAATGCACATGTAATGTGATCAAAATGATGAATTCAAGATTTTAAACAGAAAAGCAATAACCAAAAAGAAGTATTCTCTTGTGTCACATAAGACAAGATAACCAAGCCCTTTCAGGAATTTAATTTCTTTGTAAAATAATAAGATGATTTCCTCCCATACCAATAAATCATCAAATCTTTGTGGGCCTCAGGTCTCCATCTGGAAAATGAGATCAATTTAGAATGCTTTTGGGTTCTATCACTAGCTTTGTTTGTTTTGCTTTGTTTTTGCCCAGGTCATCATGTTTATTTACTAAAAATGAAGCAGATGTTTTATCTTTGAGAGTAAAAGGACACTTTAGAAACAAATATATAAACACAAACATGTGATAAAAGAACGGGCTCGAAAGCGGGAGAGAGTCGGGTCGCACAAGGCCTGGTGCGGGTGCTGGGGCTCCCTCCGCCTCCCGCAGCTGGGTCTGCCGGGCTCGCAGACGCCTTCAGTGGGTCCTGGGATGGGTCTGGATGCCTGCGAGTGCCTCAGTGCCTCGGGGGCCGGTCCTCATCCTGCAGCCCAGGCTTTCTTGGCCTCCATACTATGCTGACATTTTAGCCTGGATAGTTCGTTGTTGTAGGATGAATTATGGGATGTTTAGTAATCCCCCCAGGCTGTACCCACTGGATGCCAACCCTCGAGCTGTGACAACCAAAAATGTCTTCAGACCTTGCCAAATACCCTGTGGGGTCAGAACGTCTCTCCCTCCACCCCGGCCGCCTCCAGTGGTGGAGCCGCTGAGTCCGCCCAGCCATCTTCTTTTTCTTCACACCCACAGCCTGGCTAAGATGCCCCTTGATGCCAGAACCACTGGGATAATTTCCATTTACAAAATACATGTATAACATTGTCAGTGCCCTGCTGGAAAAAAAAATTGAACAGTGCTAGGAAAAAACTAAACATTCAATTAAGATTGTTTGGTGCTTTTAAAGACACACTGTTCATCACCCTGTCATTTACAAGCTTGCCTTTAATTGATTCTTGTCTTCGATCCAAAGCATTTTAGCCTTCATTATGAAAATTAATAATTGTCAGTGTGGCGTGGCTCTCTCTGAACAACTCCGCTGTGTGGGAGGAGTCGCCTTCCTTAGCTGTTTTTCAAGGCCGTGTTGCCAGAGCTCATTTTCCTTCTATTGGGGGTGGAGAGCCTAGTTTGAAATGTTAAGTTTGTTCCTCCTTCTGGTGTAGCACTTCAGGCAGGATTTCGTGGTTGGCCCTCTCCAGAATCTCTTCAGGACCCCCCTTTCTACTCATCAGACTAGTCATTTTCCAACTTTAGTGTGCACAGGATTTATATAAGCAGATCTTTGCACCCACCCACCAGAATCCTAACCTAATAGTTTGCACAGAGGCCTTCACTGGGTTCAGTCACGCACCCCATGCACACGGCCTCAACAACGCCTGACTCTCGCAAGACTGTGTCTTTGGGGCAGTTTCTAGTGTGTGGAAGACAAGCTAAATGCACACTCCAAGGACGGTGGAGGACGAGGAGCCTCTGATTGCCTCTCGAGCTCAAGGGCCAGTCAGCAGTCACATCCTCTTGACGACCCCCTCGCACAGGCAGACATTTGGTGGGACTTCCTAGGAGGTCGTCTGTATCCCTCACCGGCCAGCACCACTCCCCTCCCTACGCATCCAGTTTCATACTTTCAGTCACAAACCTTGTCACTTAAATATCTTTCATATCCTATCCACATCCCTTAATTCAGACTTTTGTCACCTTTCACCTGGTCTCCTGACTTCTTTAATTAGTCACTTTATCAATACTAAATATTGGAGCAGATATCCTATAGTTCCTGTAATCTTTACATAAAATGTATTGCATGTCCTACTATCAATACAACATGAAAAAATGCTAAACATCATTAGTCACTAGGGAATTATAATACAAATCAAAACTATGAGATACCACTTCACACTCATAAGGATGGCTATAATTTTTAAAAACCTTTTTTTTTAAAGGAAAATAATGTGTTGGTGTGGATGTGGAGAAGTTAGAACTCTTATACATTTGGAATATAAATGACGCAGCTACTTTGGAAAACAGTTTGGTGGTTCATTGAATGATTAAACATAGAGTTAACATATGACCCAGCAGTTTCACTCCTACGTAGATATCAAGAGAATGAAAACATACTTGTATGCAAATGTTCATAGCAGCATTATTCATAAT